CCCCCCCCCCCCCCCCCCACCATGATGGGTGCCACGGTAGGAGCTGGGCACAGGACTGGTCTTGATGCACTGCTCTCCCTGACTTCTCTGTCCCTGTAGGAAGCAGGAGCAGCGGCTCGAACAGGAGCGCCAGCGAGAGCAGCCGGCGGGCACTGGGGCGGGAGAAGGAGCGCCGGACAGGGGCCGGGGGCAGCGGGGGCAGCAGTGAGTCGGAGCACACGGTGCGCAGTGCGGCAGGCAGTGGGGGCCGACGGGAGCGCCCACCCAGCCAGCTCAGCCGGGGCAGCAGCCCCCGGAGCCAGCTCTCCACCGGTGCCCCTGGTCTGCCCCCACTGCACCCCCTGCCCAAGGCAGGCACCAGGGCACTGGCAACGCTCAGTGGCCCCCCCGGGGGCCCACCTGTGCGCGAGCTGGCCGCAGTGCCCCCTGAGCTCACTGGCAGCCGCCAGTCCTTCCAGAAGGCTATGGGCAACCCCTGCGAATTCTTCGTGGACATCATGTAATGGGGAAAGTGCCTTCAGACTCCTCTCTCCCTCTGGGTTCCCATCTTTGGAGGAGAATTTGAAGGCTTTGGTGAAAAGGACGATAATGGTGATGAGTCTCCCCTAGTCATGGAGGGAGGAAGTACCAAATCCGCCCCCCACCTCCCTCCCACCCCTTCAGCAGGCTTGCTGATTAGAGCCCCCTGCAATGCTCTGCACCTGCAGAGGACAGCACCCAACCCAGATCACTGGAAGTAATGCTGGGGGTGGGAGGGGGGAGCTTCTCATCAACGGCCACTGTGATGATGAACTTGTGTTCCTGAAGCACTCACCGTGGGGCCCCAGCCAAGGCTGTGGGAGGGACCCCAGGACTGAGGACCTGAGAGGCAGTGAATGGGACGTATGGGATGACGGAGTCAGATGAGGGGGTGGAAGCCCAGCTCTGCCACTAGCTCAAGATGTGACCTCGGGCTAATTATTTTCCCTCTCGGGGCCTCAGTTTCTCTCATCCATACAGTTAGGGAGTAGGAGTGGACAATCTCCAAGGTCCTCTCTAGCTCAGAATCTTAGGCTTCCGGGGGGCTGTGTTTCTGTCTAGGGCTTTCAGTTGGCTTCTCTGCCAAAGAGCTCCCTGGATGGGTGGGACAGGGGGCAGGGCTGCTTGGGCTCTGTCACCTACCCCCCAGGGCACATCCGTGGAGCCTGAGAGTGCTGGAGGGATGAGCTAGCTCAGTCCTAAGGGAGGAGGACTTTTGTATAGGAAAGTGGAGGGCCCTATTTTGGTCAATTCCCTATTGTCCAGGGTTCATCACTTTACCTGTGGATTACCCAGGTTTCTATCCTGGTCGAATCTGGTGTGTTCATTGGGGGTGGAGTTGGGCGTTGGGAGAAGGCTTAGCCCTGTCTGTCCACAATGACAAGCCTGTGGAGGGAGCAGGATGACAATGGTCTTGGCCCATGTGGGGAGGGTGACCCTGAAGAAGTCTGTGGTTTGTCAAGCCTCTGCTTGTGGTGGCTTATCCATGAATGAGAAGTGTGTCCCTCCCTACCCCCTCCCCACCTCCCCTGTGCTTGGTCTAGAGAGCTCTGCCTTCCCCTGGCAGGTCTAGCCCGTCCTGAGCCTCTTTCCTCTGTCTGGATGCTGCCCCAGCATCTTCTCACTCATGTTCTCCTGTCCCCTGGGTGTCCCAGCCAAGAAGTCAGGTGGAGCCATTCATTGCCTGGCTGCTGCAGGGTCAGTGGTGATTTGGGGGGAGGGGAGTGGTCACAGGGAGGTTTAGGCTCCAATCTCCTCCCTGTTCTCCAAATCTGAACACAAAGCTCTGGGAGTGAAAGTTGGGATTGATATCATCCCCACTCCCGCCCCCCCCAGTGATTTGGGGTGCCCTAACAGTGCTGTTTTATTTATTTATTTATTGCACCAGGCCTTGAGGGCAGGTCCCCCTCCCCTGCATCACTGACAGGGTCGAGGCAGACTGTAGCCAAACCCCCTCCTGCAGCTGGCCAGAGTTTCCCCTGGATCCCCCCAGCCCAGGCCTGTAAGATGGAGAGGAGAGCCAGGTGGCAGCAGAGGTGGGCTTTGTGCACTTAACTGGGGCTGCCATGGGGGGAGCGTGGTCAGTGGATGGGCCACAGCCAGAGGATGGAAGGGCCTCTGCCCATAATGCGCCTTCCTGTTTGCTTCGTTTGCATCTGACTGAATGAGCATGGTTTGCTTTTAAAGGACAAAAGTACTCTAGCCAGTGATTGGCAGAAACCCACACTAGACTGTGTATGTACAATAATGGAGGGGGTGATAAAGGCGAAGCTTTTGAAATAATGCACACACCCTCACCCCAGGCCCTTGTCTCTGCAGTGCTCTTTCCCCTGATCCCAGCCTGTTTTCAGGTGTGTCCAGCCCTAGCCCCCTCATCTGTTCTCAGGTGCACCTTCTCCAGACCCTCACCTATTCTCAGGTGTGTCCAGCCATGACCATTCACCTGTTTTCAGGTGCACCTTCCCCATTCTTTACCTAGTCTCAGGTGTGCCCTGACCCTCACCGTCTCAGGAGCACCTTCCCTAGACCCTCACCTGGTCTCAGGTGCACCTTCCCCAGACCCTCACCTGG